GAACTGAGATGTGGTGATAAAACATCACCTTGACTTGAGAATCTGCGACTTGTGGCGGGTGACATCTTGTTCTCTAACGGCGTTAGAGGGTTTTGGTTCTCCTTTGAAGCTACCAGCTTTGTACCACCTGGACTTTGTTCAGTATCTGCTGCACATTCAATCTTCTGAACTGGTAAGTTTTCCTTGTTTGAACTTTTCAGCATTGAATCATCAGGGGGTGTACTTTTCAGCATTGAATCATCAGGGGGTGTCATAGGTTTGGACAAAAGAGGATCAATGGTTTCTGACATCCCTTTTGCGGGTACTGGAGTCTTCAAGTGTTGAGAAAGCTCCCTGTGGTTCCCACAAAGGGTGAATATGTTCTGGATTCTTATTCGTCTGAATGAGGCTGCATCCTTTGCTTCATAACTAGGATCATACTGTTTCAGTTTCAGTTCAAATTTCTGAGGAGAAGCTCCAATGGTGCTGCTTGAGCACACCCTCTTTTCCTCTATTATTGCTTTCTCCACTTCTTCATCTTCCAGCTTCTCATTCAGTCCACCCTCTTCCTCTTCTTCTTCTTCCTCTTCCTCATACACAGTGCTTAAATAAGTTTTTTCTCCAAAAGTGGGTGCAAAACCATCTTGATCAACAACCTGAGGGTGATTTAAAAGGCCTTGGATGCCTGTAGTCCCAGCATGATTGACAGCCCCATCTATAAGTTTCACCTCACGAACAAATGGTTCTTGATCACCCATATCTAAATCCATTGATTTTACCATCCCAGGATCTTCATCAGCATAGATTCCAAAGAGCCTTCGGGCAAAGCTGCTTACTTCCAAGTCCCTTTGTTCTTTTTCGTCTCCATTTCCATCGTTTGAATGGTGTAGCTCTAATTCAATTTCCTGCAAGCGCTTTCTCAGCATTTCAACTTCCTCTTGCTGTTGCAGTATCCTTTCTTCCATTCTCCTCCTCTCCATTTCAACAAACTCTTCTGCCATTCTCTTGCATTCGTCCAGTTTCCTCTCCAGCTCAAGTTTTAGCATCTCAGTACGCTCATTTACTTTCAAGTTGATCTCCTCTTCACTGGCTCCAGAACCTTTCCCTTCTAAAAGTGTTCTCAGGCCAGCAACTTCTTCTTCTTTCTTCATGAGCTGTTTGTGTGCCTCATTTCGCTCTTTTTCTCTGAGCTTGTTCTCCATCTGTAGCTTACATATGAAGTCATCCATTGCTGCTATCTGGGATCCTAATATTACAGCTGATGCTGAATCTCCAGAGGCATTTTTGTCTTTGACTGGTGTATGAGGACGAAGAACAATGCACTTTGCTTTCGCCCCATATTCTAGGGTGCAAAGTGTCTTGTGAATCTCCTTGGGGTCTGGACTAGCACAGAGTATCATCAAGATCTTTGACTTATCATCCTCAAAAGAATCCTGAATAAACAACACATGCATCCTCATAAGACAGACTTAAAGGTTCACCTTTTGAATCACTATGAAACACACAATTGAGAATGGAAGTTACCTGGAGCAACATTGTCAATTTACTATCTCTAAAGGGGACATGAGAATCTCCATTTGCAATAGATTCAACAACTCTTTTCAGAGCAATGTTACCCTGGTTTATCTTTGCTGTCTGCAATTAGAGTTTCAAGCACAAAAGCTATAACAAATCCTCCACTGGCAGGAAAAAAGAAGGCAAAGAAACAAAATGTACTCAGAATCAGAAGTAATGCAAGAGCTTTTACAAATCTTTACCTGCATTTTGGCCTCAAATCCTGTTTGACCAGCTTGGTCAATATTTTCAGACCCAGCCATGTCAACAAGCATCAGCCGTCCTCCAACTTTTGGGACATCAAGGATTATCTATTCAAATTTGAAAACATGTATATTAGTAACCATCAACAAGATTTTGGTAAGTATCATTAAACTAAAGCTCTACAAGAGTCATACGATGCAGTGACTTCGTGAACTTCTATCGTTACAAAACGTGCTTTTCACTATCCTCCGCTTCTCAACTTTCTGAATCTCTTTCGATATTTTGACAGCTTCGGTCCCAAATATGGAGGTTGCATTTTTGGCTTTCTTTCCCATTATTTCAAGCTTAACCTGGAAACCCAACGTAAAATTAGTAAGATTGAAATGCTACTCTCAGCAAAAATAGCCTTCTGACATATATCCAATTAGCTACTAGTTAATCATATTGGACCACATCATCTCAATGCAATCATTGGCAAAAACCTGACTGATTAATTACTATTATCAACATCAAAAAAGTGTTGCTGGTTGGATGGCGGTGTCCCTGATGTTGTTTGAGTGGTAAAGTCCTACAAAAGTACGTGGGTTAAATACAAGGAGGGCTATTCCACCCATTGCTAATTGTGCTAATTGGTTTTAGGTTGGATGTAAATCTGGTGTTGAAGCCCATATGCACGATTTTCAGAATATTGGGTGTTGTCTCTGTCATTCAACTGTTTATGTTTTGCAATCTGAACTACAAGACAAAATTTTATTTATACATGGAACTAGCCTCATGATATTAGTTGAACTAGTTTATGAATCTAAATTAGACTAACCATGTTGATTTTCTAGTAAAATCTAAATTTCAGAAGTAACTAAAGTAAATAAGCCTAAGCTACACCACATACACAAATGAAGCACATTCATTTAGTAGCCAGTCATCAAAGAACTTGAAAAATGAAAAAAAGAGAAGGATTAAGAAATTACCTTAGATCCAATACCCCCTTTAGGCCACCCAATTCCAAACCCACCACCACCATTTTTTGATAAAAGATCATAAATTTCCTCATTGTAAATCTCCAGAACAGTGACCTGAACAAATGTCCCAATTCCTGATCTCTCGCGAATCCCTTCTCTCTCCTCCTCCTCCCCATCTCCCAAAATGTCCCTCAATGACCTGTAGACAATCCCTGGCTGCTTTGAGCACCCAAACATGGTGTGACTCTTCCCCGAACCAGTCGGTCCATACATCATAATGGTGCACTTAGCTCCCAATTTCACCCCGTGGATTCTTGATTCCACGAATTTCTTGTAAAACGCTTCAAGATCTTCTTCCTCGGAGGAGGAAATGCCGTCAAGAGTGAAATCCCGGTACCCAACATCTGCTCGGACACGGATGGTCTTTTTGTCGGGATTGATGTGTAGAAAAGAAACGGGCTTTTCTTTCTGATCTGGGTGGTTGCGAATCCGGCCAATGACTTCAACTGGGTGCTCTGCCAAGGGGTTTTCTTTAACAGCTGAATTTGGGTTTGGAGACTGGTGGTGGTTTCCGGCGAAGTTGAGCCGGTGCTTGGACTGCGGCGTTCTCATCTGGGTGGGATTTAGCTTGGACGATGGTGTTGGAGCCATCTTGAAAGTGAGTGAATTTGGAGGCCTTTCGTGATAATTCTGAAGAAATTCTTAAGCTTGATGCGATTGAAACAGAGAAAGGAGAGAGTGAGACAAAAATGGATGAGTTCTTGAAAGGGAAAGAAAACAGAGATGGAAAATGTTAAAAAGGTTTTGAAGTTTGAAACACGAATATAGCCGTTAAGTTCTAACGGCTCTTTTTCTGGACATGAAATTGGTGTAGTTCATTAATAGGGAACACTGGAACAATTTGAAGTAAAATACTTCTTTTATTGTCACTTGCTGGATCAAAATAGTTATTTTGATATTTTCATACTCTTCACAATTCTTAATGTTATTCTTTGCGTTTGTATTCATTTTTAATAAATTTAAATTTCTAAATTAATCGATTTTAGAGTTATGGTATGTTCTGTTTCTGTGCTTTTTATCTTGTTAAAAAAAATTTAATTTAATTTTTTGATTTTTAAAACATAAATTTTAAATAAAAATTTAATAATTTATATAAATAATAATTAAAAATTTTTATTAGTCAAATAAAAATACTTAATAAGAACTATATATGAGACAAAAAAATTTTCAATTGTTATTTATATAAATTATTAAATTTTTATTTAAAATTTACATTTAAAAACAAGAAAATCAAATTAGATCTATTAAAAATAAATGAAGGGAATATATTTTTTAATTAATTATTATATCATTTAATTTTAAAAAAATAAAAAATATATAATTTTTTTAAAAAATATAATATAAAAATATAATAAATAATCACATTAAAAATATGTGTTATTAATAATATAAGTTATTAATAATATAGGGTATAACAATAACCTCCAAATAATAAACCTTTAAAATTTATGAACTGGCCTACCCCGACCCAGTCCAATTATGAACTATAATTTAACAACTAAAATGCTCCGCGATATATTACCATAAAAAAAATGCTCAGCCATAATCATATCAAGTTAATTAATATCAAATTGAAGAATTAACATAATTGAAAACTGAGGGAGAGATCCTTAGAAAAGCTTTGACATTTTTAAAAGCTAAAAATTACAAATCTGTAACTCTTAAAATAAAGTTTTTTGTTTCTAAATTTCCGAATTTGGAAAATCTTAATAATTTCTAGAATTAGTATTTTATAATTTTCTATAATTTCACAATTCATCTCTTCTTCAAAATCTTTCCTCAAGCAACACTTTATTTATATTGTCAATAAAAAAAAAAAAAGGCAACACTTTATACAAACAAAAAAAATGTCAACTTCCATTGGATAAAAAGTGAGCTCTTACACTCTCCATCTTAAAAAAATTGTTATTTTTTTATCTTTTTAAATTAAAAATTTAAAGATAATAGTTGTATTTATTTATATTACTTAAAAAAATAAAAAATAAAACAAAATTTTTTTGTGAGAAGATAATTAATTAAAATAAAAAATTATATAATTTAAAAAATAAAAATAAATAAATAATTAAAATAAATTTAAAATGAAATAAAAAAATTATTTTAATATAAAAAATAATATTTAAAAATATACTTCATCCAACTATTCCTATTTTATAATATAGTGAAATCCATATAGCAAAACATGAGTCTCTAAAGACTCTATTTGCATAAACTTGAAGTAAACCAAATAGTTTTATTAAGTTGAGAAATGTTAGGGACGCACCGCGCATGGCCCTGCACTGCACACGTGATTGACATAAGGCGTGTTTTTTAAAAATAAAAAAATTTATAAAATAATATTTTCTAACACTATAATTAAAGATATATATATATATATATTAATTTTGATTAAAAAATTGGCAAAAAAACACTTCTTAAGGCGCAAACTTACTTCAAAATAACATCTAAGGCCCTTAACTAAAAACAAAGTAGATAAGTCCTTCAACTCCATTAACAATATAAATAAGTTCTTTTCATTCATGGATATTCATACTTTCAAAGTGATATTAAACATGAAATATCATTTAGTCCTTTTGTGTGAAGAGCTTATTTCCATTGCTAGTGGAGTGAGAGGGTTTATTTGCTTTATTTTTAATTGAAGAACTTAAATGTTATTTTGGGATAAGTTTGAAGGCTTAAAAAGGATTTTTCTTTAAAAAATTAGATTCTTACTTTAAATTCGTTATTTTATTTAATTAAATTTTAATTTAAAATTAAATTTTTTTTATTAAATATCAATATTTAAACTTAAAAATTAATTAAAATTTCAAATTTTAAATTAAAATTTTAATTTCTAAATATCAATATAAATTTTTAGTTTTTAAGAGTCAAATAACGCATTGATTGAAAAAAATTTGAAGCTGGTAAAATCGGCCCAACTAAATAATATCACTCGAGTCCAACACCAACAACATGAGCCCGTGGGATCCATGGGCTGGCTTCTAAGAACCCGACCCATAAAATACCTTATAAGCGCCAAAATGAAAAGAAACAAACCCCGAAAATTTTCAAACTCAAAATGGAATTCATTTCCCGCCCAATGTTATCCACTTTTTTTTTTTTTTTTTTCAGTCAAAGTGAGTCTGTCAGAGACGCCCTTTCGTCTGTTCATCTCTCTCTGATTCTTACAAAACCAGAAAATTCCTAAGAACCCACAAGAAGAAGAAGAGAATCCCCTACGTAGTTTATTTATCTGTAAATTTTATCCCCCCTCCCCCTAAAAAGATTTCAATGTCTGCTTCGTCTGTTCGACGGCAGAGAGAGCTGAACGTCGGCACCCAAAAGCCGGCGAAATCCTTGACCCCAATCTCAAATCCCACCCTCAACAAGTCGTCTTCTGGGAAAGAGAATGCTAGACATGGTGTTTCTTCCCGGGCCTCCTTGTCGGGTCAGAAGCCCGTGATTAGGCCGGTTCCGCGTGTTGAGAAGGCGGCTGTGGTTGCTGGGGGTGGAGATGGCGAGGTCAGAGTGCGGTGGTCGACGTCATCGGCACAGAGAGGTAGGAGCCCTAGCCCATCTGAGTTTATTAGGGCTGTCTCGGATTTGAGGAAAGATAGGGTTTCTGTAGATAAGGAAATTAAAGGTTCTAGGGATTTAAAAGCGAAAAGAAGTGAAAGTAGGTTAAGGGCTGTTAAAAATTGCAAAGAAAGTTGTGGGTTTGGGGAGAATTTGGTGTTGAAAGTGAAGGAGAGTGAGAGGAAAACAGGGGACTTTTGGGCGTTGGGTGGAAATTATGGAAAAGCCATTAACTTCAGCTCAGTTTTGGTAAAATCAAGTGAAATTGATGGTAATAATGGTGGATTTGAGGCTTGTACTGAAAATAATTGCACAGACCTTGGTTCAAAAGTTGAAGCTAGAGTTACTATTGAGGAGAAATCTGAATTGAAATCTGGTTCTGCTTCGAAAACTGATAATGGGGTTGCAAACATTGTAGTAAAAGAGAAGTCTTTGCATGAGGGGAAGGCCTTGGAAGTTCTGACAGAGAAAGGTGTAAGTGACGTGGGGGGTTTTAACTCCGGGGTTGGTGTCAAATATCCAAGCAGGCTGCATGAAAAGCTTGCTTTTTTAGAGGGTAAGGTGAAGCGAATTGCTTCTGATATTAAGAGGACTAAGGAGATGTTGGACATGAATAATCCAGATGAGTCAAAAGTGGTACTTTCGGATATTCAGGAAAAGATTTCTGGTATAGAGAAGGCTATGAATCATGTTGTGGGTGATTCAGATGGTAAAGCAGGGGTCTTTAAAAGTTCTACAACTGATAAAGCGGATGTGAAAATTGTGGAGAAGAGTAATGCTAAGCTGGTGGAAAATGTCACAGCTTCGGTAAAAGGATTAAATAGTAAGGACTTAGAAGATAGATTATTTCCTCATCATAAATTGCTCAGAAACCGGGCATCACTGAAGGCATCATCAGGCGGCACACAGAGTCAGGAACCCTCAAATGGTGTAGATCCTGCCAGTCAATCGAAGGAAGATGAGAAGTCACTGGGCTCTATAGAGGATAACCCAATAGCTCTAGAGTTCTTGGCCTCCCTTGATAAGGAACAAATTAAAGCTACCAGTAGCACCACCAGGAATGGACCAGCTGGTTCGGAGCACTGTGAAGTTCACGACATGGATGGTGATCGTGCTTCACATGTAAAAGATTCTTCAATCATGGTTAATCTGAAGAGCGATGCTGAGCTCATTCTCACAAGTGATGAAAGACTTGAGGATTTTGATGATCAGGAGAATAAACAAACCAGCATGGTTGATGATGAGGTTGAAGATAATGACAATTATCAGCTAAATGAAATAGGAAGCAAGGCAACAACTGCAGGATGGTTTGTGTCAGACGGGGATGCAGTTCTTGCTCATGATGATGGCTCTTGTTCTTTCTATGATGTTGCTAACTCTGAGGTATATACCAGTTGATGTTGAATCTTCACCTTTTTCTCATACATTGTGATCGACTCTCAGGCTTGTCTCTGTCTGACAGTTCATTTTAATTTATTTATGCACTATTTCTTATTTTCTTGTCTTATTTCTAGTGTTTCTCTTTCATTTTGTGCTTTGAATTCTTCATTTTCTAACTGAAAAGAATCGAATAATTTGAGTGGTACTTCTGAGTCTGCGTATTTGCCCCTCAAACACTAGGTGCCTTTTTTTGGAAAAATTTCGAACTTACCTTTAAATATCTGTTAATTTTGTTGAATGTTTGGTTGTTTATTTGACCATTAAGTTATCTTGGTCACCCATTCATTTAACCCTTGCTTACTTACATAAACATAACAGGAAAAGTTTTTGTTTCACTGTTGTATCTGAGCATTGTGATGGAAACAAGTAAATCATATTACAGCATCATGTTAATACATTTATGGTGGTTCATTATTTTTTCAGGAGAAGGCTGTTTACAAGCCTCCAATAGGAGTTGTACCTAATATATGGGGAGATTGTTGGATTATCCGTGCCCCTAGTGCTGATGGTTGCTCTGGCAGATATGTTGTGGCTGCATCTGCTGGGAATTCACCGGAATCAGGGTTTTGCTCGTGGGATTTCTACACCAAAGATGTGCGAGCTTTCCACACTGAGGGTGGGGGGACAGCTTCAAGAACTGTGCTTGGTCCCTTACCAAATAATCCTATGATTAGAAGAAATGGTTTGTGTAATCAGATGGTACCTGAACATCAGCAGTGGTGGTATAAACCTTGTGGCCCTCTTATCATCTCAACTGCCAGCTCTCAGAAGGTTGTCAAAGTTTATGATATCCGTGATGGAGAACAAATAATGAAGTGGGAGGTACAGCGGCCTGTATTACCAATGGATTATTCAAGTCCATTGCAGTGGAGAAATAGAGGGAAGATAGTCGTAGCTGGAGCAGAAACAATTTCTTTGTGGGATGTAAACTCTCTACATCCTCGAGCATTACAATCTGTGTCATCATCTGGTAAAAAAATAACTGCTCTTCATGTGAATCACAGTGATGCGGAACTAGGCGGAGGGGTGCGGCAAAGGTGAGGTCTTTGTCCCATGCATTTACTACTTATCTCATGTTCTTAAAAGTTTTCTGCATTAACTGTTCTCTTCTGACATGAATTGCCCTTTACGATCTAAGTGAACTTAAAGTATCATTTACCCTTTTAATGTTGCTTACATTTACTAATTCATTTTCTATTTTTTTTTTCGTTCCTTTTGTTTCTATTTATTGTGTTGTGCACAAATATAAAATGCCATGTTAATAATTCTCTTACAATTTCTGTTGATACTTGAAATGCAGAATCAGCTCCTCTGAAGCAGAAGGAAATGATGGTGTCTTCTGCACACATGATTCTATTAATATTTTGGACTTTCGACACCCATCTGGTATAGGTGCAAAAATACCAAAGATTGGTGGGAATGTGCAGTCAGTTTTCTCTCGTGGGGATTCAGTCTTTCTTGGCTGCCCAAATGTGAAGACAGCTGGAATGAAGCAGCCATGTTCTCAGGTGCAACAGTTCTCATTGCTTAAAGGAAGGTTGTTCACCACCTATACTTTGCCTGAATCCAATGCTCACTCGGATCATTCAGCCATTACACAAGTCTGGGGAAATTCAAACCTTGTCATGGGTGTTTGTGGCCTAGGGCTATTTGTATTTGGTGCCTCGACAGATAATGGCATGCTGTCTTATACAGGTGATTATGGTGCCAGAGAAACCATTGGCCCAGATGACCTTTATTCTCCTACTTTTGATTACTTGTCGTCTCGAGTTCTCCTGATATCAAGAGATCGTCCTGCATTATGGAAGTACATAGTGTGAAAGTAGCAAGTGTAATTTATCTATAAACTGTCAGCATGATCTTAACTTGTTTTTGTTGCTTTTTGAAACCTGCTATATGTGACTTTGAAATAATATTTATATTTACTGAAGAAGGGTTGATCCATATCAAAAATTGGGAGGGCATGGCATCATGTTGGCATTTACTGTTTCTTGCATTGTAGCGTACATTGAATAGCAAACATTGTAAGGATTGTGAAAAGGGAGATTTAGTTGGAATGACATTTAACTTAGTTTTCTTCTATACTTCCTAGTTCAATGATTTAGTACACTAGGCAACACTAATGTCCTGTCAATTTCTAATTTATTCTACTGATCTGTCAAGCAATAAAATGAGTCCTTAACCTCTTCAAACGAGTCAATTATGAATGCATTTAATCCCCTTCAAAAGTGACAATTATTGGACATCTTGCGGAAATCAGGGGTTGGCATGTGCTACTGCTAGATATTGGTGAAATGCGTTGTAAGTTTTGAAAGGTTAAATACTCTATTTGGTCCCTCTACTATTGAAAAAAGCTCCCTTTTTGGTTTATATATTGAAAAAATCTCTTCTTTTTTTTTTTTGTCTCTAAATTTTAAAATCCAATCCTTTCTTAATCCCTCCTTTAATTTTTGCTCATATGGCATGTTAACTTAACATGAATAGTTGACGTGGATAGGCCAACATGTAAAAGGTGCTTATGTGGACTTAATGACACCTTCCATGTCACTCTCCTCGCGCGAGAAAAGGAAAAAAAAAAACCCAATCTTAGACAAAGGGGAAGTTTAAATGATTTTATTTGATTAAACCCTAAAAATCGATCGTTCCTTTTTCCTTTCCTTTTTCGTCTTAAAAACAGTTCAAAATAGAGCATTATTTCTTCTTTTTCTGTCGATTCACCTTACAATCGAGTCTTCTTACTCTTTGTTGTGATCGATCGTTGAATGAGAAGAGAAGCTGAGTAGTAATGGCTAGAGAAATCATAGATATCGACCTGGAAGGGGATTCAAATGGGAGCGGGAATGAGGTACGCTTTTTGTTCACGAATCTTATTTTGAGATGTGTGAAGGTTATGCTTAATGGGTGGTGTCATCTTGTTATTGTCCTGGTGTATGATGAGTGCAGTAAGAAAGTGGGTAAAGTGGGGTTTTCGAATCTTTCTATATTGACTTGCTTTTTGAAAAGGGGCATCTGGTCTCCACCTTATGTGTTTTTCATGGGTCAGTGTGTTTACCTGTATGGAAGCAGTAAGATTCTATAATTTGTTACTGTTTTTTATTGTTTGTTGTCGTTAAGCTTGGTCATTGAGATGTACTTATTGTGTAAAATATTGAATTTTTTATATGCATTATTGAATAGGGTGATTGGGGGATCAAGAAGTATGTGATGTTTGTTCATATAGGCGGTAGGTTAATACAAGATAATGGACTTAAATATGTTGATAGAGAGCGTTGGGATTGGCATGTAGACATAGATAAATTAACTATGATGGAGTTGTTCCAAAAGATTTCAATAACATGTTATGATCGAGATATGGTAGAGCATATATGGTATTTGGAACTTGGAAAGACACTCAGTAATGGCTTGAAGTAAGTAATAGGTGATGTTTTAATTAGAGAAATCTTGGACATACTGAGGGTTCACAATAAGGTTCACATATATGTAATTCATATACCAGATTTCCCTTTTATGGTTGAACAATTTCTTGCTTTACCAGCACCTGGCGATGATGTAAACAAGGGTCAGGAAACTAATAATGCTGGTAAAAGGGTTGAGACTGAGGGTCCTACTAATGGTAAGGGGGGTTGATGGTGAGGTTCATGTGGAGGAAGGCTAAAATGAGAGTGTAGTTAAGGATTATTATGAACCTGGACAAGATTTTACTACACAAGATGTTTGGTCAGAGAAGGAAGATGAAGCTGGTGTTGAGAAGGAACGTGCAGGTGCATCAAAAAGTGATAATGTGGCTGATGACCATAATGATAATCTCAGTGAGGACAAAGAGGCAAAAAGTGATGAAGGGCATGATGATCCTGTTATGGATATCCTTGAGTTAGCAGATAATGAAGATGAGGAGGCGATGAAGGCCAGAAGGAAGGTCAAGTCTTTTTGTTATAATTTGCAAGAAGATAATGTAGGACCTAGTTCCTATCATGATGGTGGTATGTCATTGTCTTTTCATAGCTATAATTTTTTTTATTTTTATTTTTTGTGTTTGGGTTATGTTTTCATATATTGTATGTAAATTCAATTAATTTAAGTGTGAATGCAGCAGGTCCTAGTTCCCCTCTTATAATAGGTCCTATTACGCCTCCTGCAACAGTCCATGATGATGGTGATGAATTCAAAGTGATGCAGGATATAGTAACATTTCTACTGATGAGGATGATGGAAGTGATGCTGATCATGCTTCTAGAAGGAGAGCTCAACACGTAGTTTATGAAGAAGTTGAAGATGCTCTTCCAGATATAAGGTTAGGGATGATTTTTGTGAGCAAGGCACAATTTAAAGCTATTGTTGATAAATGCAACATGATGCAAATAAGGGATATTAAATGGAAGAAGAATGACAGCAAACGGATCAGGGCTGTTTGCAAACATGCCCCAAGCTGTGATTGGAAAATATTATTATCAAAGGATGCAGTGACAGATTCTTGGATGGTGAAGACATATATTCATAAGCATACCTATAGTGAGAAGTTGATAAGTAAGAGATGCAACTCAACAAGTGCATCAAAGTATTTGGTTGAGAAGATGGGTTTTGCTTCTTTTTACTTGAAAGCTGATGACATTTTTCAAACCATTCGGAGACACACTAGGTTGGAGTTAACTGGAACACAATGCAAGAAGGTAAGAGAGAAAATTGCTGCGTGTTTGAAGGAAATTGTTTGATAGAATATAGTAAACTATCGGACTATGCTGCTAAGCTGAGGAGAAGAGATCTAGAAGCCACAATTCTCATTCAAGCACCAAGGCCGACGATAGATACAAATCCTATCTTCATGAGAATGTATGTATGTTTCAATGTTATCAAACTTGGATTTGTTGTTGGCTGTAAGTGTGTAATAAGGGTTGATGGAGCTTTTCTTAAGGGAGTATATAAAGGAGTTTTGTTGGTGGTAGTTGGACGAGATGCCAACGATCATATGTACCCATTGGCATGGGCAGTTGTCAAAGTTGAGAAGACAGAGACTTGGACATGGTTTTTGGAAGAACTACAATAAGCTAGGCAATTGATAGAGGAAATAGATTCACATTTATATCAGACCAATAGAAGGTTACTGTTAGCTTTGTTTCTTTGTTGTAACTAAGGTCCCAACTTGGTCCCTAAACTTTTAAAGTTCAAGGTCCAAGTTGGGACCTTCTATTGTAATAATATTTTATTTTTATCCATTTGTCTGGCCTTTAATAAATTATAATGTGCATGGTAAGGGCTAATGAATGCAATTAGAGAGCCATTTCCAGATGTTGAACATAGAAAATGTGCAAGACACATATATGCCAACTTTTGAAAGGATAACCAAGGCAAGGAACTGTAGAAGGCATTCTAAAAATGGGTAAAGGCAACCACTGAAGCTAATTTCATTAAGGCATTTGGTGAATTGACTAACATTAAACAGAGAGCTAGAGTTGTAGTCTTAAAAATACACCCACAATTTTGGTCAAAGGCATTCTTCAAGGAAGACAGTAAGTCAGATGTAGCTGACAATAATATATGTGAAGTTTTTAATGGCTTAATTGTTGAATAAAGGCACAAGCCTATTTTCTCAATGCTTACATATCTTAGGATGATGTGTGGTAGGAGGATTGTTGCTAGAAGGACATTTGCAGAAGTGAAGTTTGTTGGTGATTTTGGTCCTAAAATATGGGAGAAGATTGTTGCAAGTAGGGAAGGAAGCAAGAGATGTAGGGTGCTATGGCTTGGTGGCACTGGTTATGAGGTTGAAGAAGAAGAAAAGGGTAAATTTATTGTTGATATAAATAGGGGGACCTGCACTTGCAGGTGCTGGAACATGACAGGCATACCTTGTAAGCATGCTGTAAGTGTCATTCAATTGAGGAAGGAAAAAGATGAAGACTATGTAAGCCACTAGTATAGCAAGCCTATGTTCTTGGCAAGTTACGAATATGAAGTTCCTTGTATTGAGGGGATGTCGCAATGGAAGGAAACTAAAATGCCCCTAATTTAGCCATCATTGCCTAAGAAAATGCCAGCCCGACCAAAAAAAAAAAAAAGGGTGTTAGAAGAATGGAAAGGGCAGACGTCATTTTCTAAAAAAGGAAGGATGATGACTTGTCAAAAATGCTTCAAAAGAGGGCAGAATTCAAGGACTTATAAATGATAGCCTCCTAACACTATAAGTGCTAATATTTGATAACTTAAAAATTCTGTAAAGGGTTTTTATATATGTAAAATGTTACAAATTATATTTGTAATTTTTTTTGTGGACAAATTGATTGTATAGTTATTTAGGAAGTTGGAAACAATGAAGCTTCTGAAGCCACTGAAAACTTAAATGATAACAACTCATTGAGCCAAGTTGATGATCCTGCAAGTCAAGTGGTTAATGAAGAAATAAGACCTGTCTAGGAGTGAAGAACTGGAGAGAAGAGGAAAAGAGAAAAGAAAAAGTCAAGTAAAAGGCCTACTATGGTGAGGGCTACTTATTTTAAATTCCTGTTTGCTTTTATTACAATTTATTTCAGAATACTAAAAATCCTCAACATAGTAGGAAAAAAGTTCCCAAACAATAAAAAGCAAGAAACGGCCAAAGAAAGGATCAACCTCATCAGCTACAACTCCTACTGCTCCCACACATGCAACATTCCCAAGTGCAGAACCTTAAAACAATCTAGGTGCTGCATCTAGCCCACCACAGGAACAAAATAAGAAAGGTGAGGCTAAGAGAAAGAAATCTGGTAGTCAATTGCACGCAATGGCCAAAGATAGACAGGGGAAAGGTGGACAATCAGGTGCTAAGGAGTGAAGGTGTTGATTGTTGTGTTTTTTTGTCATTTGAAGTTGACTGGTGCATTAGAAATGAAGCTTTTTTTTTTTGTCATTTAACCTATCGTTACATGTAAACTTAGGCAACTTCACGGAATTCCTGTTTTGCATATGGTGTGTATGCTGTTGTGGCTTCATAGGACATGTTGTATGTATATTGGTATACCTTTGATATCTAGATTGATGTTAATGGTGCAAATATTTTGGAATCAAGAATTGTTCTTGACTGAAAAGGCTTGTGTTTTGGTTGAGAATGACATTTCGTTGTGTATTTGCTAGTATGAAATTAAACTTGTACAATGAATATAAAATTCATAGACTATGTGCCATTTATAAGGAACAAATTACATTCCTTTTACATAAAAAGGCAAATAATACACAAAAGGCACTAGTCTCCCATCCTATCATTTTCCCAATTTTCCCAGCAATGTTAATGCAATCTATGCAACCCAATAAATACAGAAACAAGAAGACGGACAATACAAACCACACAAAATATTTGGCAACTTATAAGTGTTTTGACACATATCTTCTCACTTGTTTTCACTTTCTTCTTCAAGCCTTTGATATTCTTAACAAATGCCTCACATTGGACCTTTAAGTCACCATTTTGTTGCAGGAATTTCCCATTTTCGAACATCAAGTCTACGTTTTCCTACAACAGTTTTCCTTTTTCAGCCATAAGATTTTCGTTTTCTTCCTTGTAACTTTGAATCTCTATTTCAAGCCTAATTTGCTTATCTTTAAGTTGTAGCAAGAGTTCCCTAGCTCTTCCCTCAATCACCTCATCACCATCAAGAAAGTGGAGGAAATCACATGCATTCCCAGCCTTCCCAACCTAAATAGCATGAAATTAGTAGTTTAGGGTTTTTTCAATAATTTTTGTTCTAAACATGAACAACTCACCTCGAATTTAGGACATCTCTAAAATCTTCTTCCCATGTTTTGGTAAGTTAGGGACATTCTCGCCTGACTTACCAAAACGGCATCCAAACCACACCTGTAAACATATTTTTTTCCAAGAAAGCTGCTAGTTGATGCAGAATCAGTGAATGAGTTGCTTTGCAAAAGCCCACCCTCCATTAGGGCAATATATTCACTAATCTCACATGTAAAGGGTTGATTATGAACGAAAAACAAGAGTTTTGAAACCAAGCTGATTTTTGGACAAGGAACTGGAAAAAAAATTGAAGAATTTAGGTTTATGTTCTGGTAGGGTTCAAGGATAATTGACTTATATTTACTATGTATTTCAGAATATGGGTCCCATTGATTAGGGTTTTTTTCTTTTCCCGCATGAGGAGAGTGACGTGGAGGGTATCATTAAGTCCACATAAGCACCTTTTACATGTTGCATATCCACGTCAACTGTTCCCGTTAAGTTACCATGCCATGCGAGTAAAAATTAACGGAGTGAATAAAAAGGGGTTGGATTTTAAAATTTAGGGACCATAAAAGGGATTTTTTTAGTACAGAGACCAAAAATGGGCTTTTTTCAATAATAAAGGGACCAAAAAAGGTATTTAACCTTTTCTTAATAACCTCAAAAAATTAGGTAGCTACAGGTGTCAATCAAAATTCCATGTTAATGACATTGATACTTAGGTACCATTTGTTAGGACAAAGATGCATATAACTATTAGTCATATGATTTGATGTTAGAGTTATTTTTATTTTTTTATCATAAATTTAAAATTCAATGCTTAAAATCTATGTAAAAAAAAAAAGAAAAAAGGAAGGTGTATGTATAGCATCTATAAAGGATTGTGGTGGAGTCTTACCCTATGAGGGCAAACCAATAGAATTGAAAAGAAGTTTCCTTTATAGAAAGCCAAACTAGGAGAAAAAATGGACTTCCCAAAGTGGGATTTGAAGGAGGGAGGAGGGAGAGGGGAAGTGGGGCAGAGCCTAATTCTTGGTAGGTAAGGTCCGTTATGCCCTGTCCCAAAGCAGCATTCTAATTACCATCTTTACCTTGAAATCCTGCTCTGCTTGGTTCTTTTCATTTTTCAGCTAAACCTAATGCATTGCTATGGTTATAAGATGGACAAATGACTTTATATTGTTGCTTGTAACCTTTAGTAATATAGGGAAACTTGTCCAATTACCAGCAATTAAGTTATGCCCCAAAATGTATACAGGTGGGGCGAATTCTTTACTTTTGAGATGGAACTAGAGGCAAGAAGAGACCGTATTGGATATGACAACTAACCACAAAGGTACGTGAAATTAATATTTGTGGATGCCGAATTCACCATTCATGCCAGGTTGGTGTCAACATACGGTCTAATTCATTCTTTCAAGTGTGTTCAAGTGTTGTATTAATCTTGTGGTTATGAAAGCTGAAGACGTTGTGGAAAAGGAAGATGAATTTTAGTAAAATTGAAAATATCATATATTTGATTAGAAATTTTTAAAAAAT